GAATGGTGGAAAAAGGGATAATAGGTAGCACTGTTCCTGGGAGCAGTTGAATAAATCGTTGATTTCTGCAGAAAATAATGTTTTATAGTTGTTTTATTATCAGTGGGTATTGATTTCTAGAATTTGAATCACTTAACCAAAAAATGGCGCTTTTCGAATGTTTTTGTTAAAATATTGTTGAAATCAGTTTTCTTAAGCTAAGAATGTTTTTTTTCAAAAATTTTGAGCTGCAGCATCACTTCCGTCAGGTGTATTTTGTTTTAAAGGCGAACTTTCGATTCGCTGATATGGCAAGCAAATTTGTTGAAAAGATAGACATGTTACATGAGGGTATTGCTTTTTATGAGGTTTAGCGATGAGGAAATTTAACAGAAAATATGGAAATGCTGTTTTTGATTGAATGCACAAGAAGGATGATGATGATTTTACTGCAAATAAATAATGCTGATTTAGAAAAAGTTGACAGTGATGTTCTTCCTGGCTAAGGCTAATAAAGTGAGGTTGAGCGAACAGGTGACTGAGCGGAATTTTACAGTATCATCAACTGTTGAATGGAAAGCACTCTACCAATCTCACCGGTGCCGCCTTTTATCGAGAGCAGTGACAGTTCGCGCACAAAATACAGTCATTTGACAGAAGTGAAACGGCAGACACTATGTGTAATTGCGAGAGCTATAGAGCTCAAACCGCATTGTTCCCCACTGTGGACAACAAAGCACCTCGAAGATGTGGGAAATACAGTATATTGTTGCTATTGTAGGGAGCAAAATTCGTAGGCGACACCTATCCGTTAGCTGTTTGGAGCACCGTTTTGTACTCGCAGAGGACAGTCAGGGACCCCGCAGACAAGGGCAGTGCAGTACGTTATTGCTACTGTAGGGAGCAAAATTCGTGATGTTTGTTTCATTGGCGCCCAGTGAATTTCGTGTACTAGTACTCGCGTAAGAAAAAACGGCCATTTGTTCTGCCTTCAAAGAAGTGGTGTGTGTAAATGGAACAGAAGACACATGAAATGCAAATCAGCGCCAACGAGTAGCCTGGTGCAGATGCATTTAGTGTGTGGTTGTATCTCATCTGTCACTGGTTCCTCGTACCGATCAACTAGGCGATTTTAGGTACCTTCAGTTAAAAAACCTAAAGCTAGCATGAGTACATCCAAAAAAGTTAACATTTTGTTGTAATGACACCGACAGCTGCAGCCTAAAAGCAATTTCCACAGTGACGCCGTGAGCAAAAATTACCTTCCTGGTATTTTTCTTTTAAGAAAGAGGTAATTTGGAAGGTTTTTCCGTGGAAAATAGTCAGAAAGCTTTAGACCTGACAGGAAAAAACATACTCTAACAACTTTCTGTCGTCGAGGATTGAAATATGGATAGCAGGTGTCCGGGTCATGGAGTGGTACAAGACAAATCACCACTGAAACCTGATACTGCCAAATCATCCGCAAAAAATCGACGAACGAATGCTTCGTTGGAGCCTGTAAAATTGATTGCTGGACGATAAATGAAATACTTCACGAACACTTTCCGAGATGACTGCTCTGAAATATTGAAAAGGAGACATAAGAATTATAAATTTTGTATTATAAGAGCTTGTGAAGAAGCAGTCTGTGTTTCACCGCATAGCCGTAAACACATATCTGCTTTCAAAAATTTTTATGAGGAACTAATAAGGTGAATGTAAAAGACGGAAAAATGTGGCGCAATAATTCTAAAATTGGAAAATAATAAGATAGCGGAGGACTGTGTAATGGGGGCTGCCCTACCCTCTGCTTTATTTAATTGGTACAAGTTGTTGCTGGTGTGGAGCCAGATTAGCAATTTTTGTAAATGGTGCTAAAACCAATTTCATACAAATTTGGTTTTAGCAGCATTTACAAAAATTTTAGAAATCGATGAAAAAAGCTACGACTGAAATGGTTAACTACTGATTTTTTTCAGAAACACCAGATAGTGGAAAGCGTGAAATTTGAAAACGGAGTTCCTCATAAATTTTGTGAAGGTTAAGTAAATTTCAGTCTTTTAAAACAACTATTGCTGGGCAATATTTGCTGGTTTTTTGTACAGCCCAGTTTTAATCTTACAAAGAAGCTGCTACTTTTAATTTCTTCCGAGAAACGAAAGCACTTTTCCAGCAAAATCTGTTACGATAAATTGTTTTTTCTGAGCAAATTATGAACGCACATGTCCAAAAAAAGAAAAAATTACCTGAGCAATGATATAATTGGAATAGGGAAGTCGAATTTGCGAGGCATGGATATATGTCGAGTCGCCGGGTTTTGTTGGAACTAAACGTACAGCGCCCTCGTTGTAATTAACAATGCTACGTGAACGATTCTTCTTCTCGTTCTTAACAAATTTTGATCAAATTTAGCAATGCACAAATACTACTGTCATGTGCAAATCTTATTTGAGAGACATGAAGTATTATTAAGATGAACGCGGCCACTTTGATAATCAGTATGGTGTATCAAAAAAAAAAAAAACCAAACCACTTTAGGATCCATTTTGCCTGAAGGTTTCCCAGAGAGGTATCAATCTCACTTTGTTCTGGAGCATGAGTTGAATCAACTTTTTAAGTTTTGTATTTTGAGGAAATAAAACACGACAAGCAGAACACCACAAAGTGCTGCCCGCTAAGTTTGATAGATTGTAAATTATTGCCAAGCTGGCGAAATCATGGAATTCCCCAACCAATATAAATAGCGAGGTTTTAACTGGATTTCTTCTTTAATTTAATTTTCAGTACTACAAAGCAAATGTAGGGAGCCAAAAAAAGCTTGAAAAGTCCTCTGGACCCCGGGATGATGCATCTCTTCCGCATACCACGGCTTAGACCATTTCACTGACGCATATTTAAATCCCTACAGACTTCAGTAAGTACTGTCAGATTTCAATAACTCATTGCTGATAGATTCAGCTTACTAAAAAATGTCTGTGATGTATTTTTAGGGACGGAAACTAATTTCATATTCTGCAATAAAGGTTTTTTTCCAACGATTTACTGACACTTCTGATAAAGGAAAATATGAATTGTCACAGACCTCAATTTTTGCAGGTAAATATGGGGCTGTAATTTGCAAATCTAATTTTTATGCATTTTTGGCAGCAATGCAATGCGAAAAACGCATATTGACGAGAAGTTGTTTGTGTGTCCCTGTGTCTGTGTGTGCGTCTGTCACGCACTTTCATCTCAGGACCAATAAAAGCTGCGGGGCTGAAATTT